AGTTGTTCTTCTTTCTGTTCTTCGTTTGCAAATTTCTGCTGCTTTTTATCTATATCCGACTGCTGCTGATCGAATTGCGTTGTTCGCGACATAGTTGGGAGCTTGGAAGACATGGGGGCTTGTTTTTGTGTACCATTTTTGTCTCTGTATCAATTGTTTGTGTTTCAACATTTCTGTCGATGGCGAGTGGATATGCTAAATATTACTGACGCTAATAAATCACTACCCTGCACGTTTTCGTGGCATTGTACCTGCGAACACGAAATATCTAATTAAAAACTGAGTTGATGGCTGTGTGCAGGAGTTCACTCGTTGTACATATAGTCGCACGTGGATCGTATAAGGATTGAGCTAACGATACAAATCCGGGATTCTTCTCAGCTCATCAAATCGAAAGGCGCGCCGCAAAATATTAAGCAGAAAAAGCTGGATATTTCGAGAGTAGTTGCAACCATGGAGCAGAACTACCAAAAGTACAACAAGAGCATGTAGCTCAACTGTGAGTACGCAGTTATCGCTCACGTTGTTTGCACATGGTGAAAGTAAACGTTGAATGGCTTTATTTTGCCCAGCCAGCTTCAAGCATAAATGCCACGTCTCTCGTTTTGATACATATTCTTAGGCACATTACGAAGGCAATACAAACTCTATCACATTAAAACCACGCTGGAGCTATTGTGCTTCTGACTATCCTTTCCTCTGATTGGACTATGTTGTGATGACCAAATCGTGTTTTCGTATTGATTAATAGAGGATCTTGCTTCAGATAATCCCATACAAGTATCGTGTCCCGATTCGTCTGCAATTCACGACTGCCGAAATGCACACCGACTCAAACTTAAGACTTGCTTAGTTCACCATTGCCACCTGCCATTTCTACCGAAGATGGCGTCACCGAAAATTAGAAACTATTCATATTCTTTATTGACCACCAGCAAGAAAAAATTGACAGTTATAAAGCTGTTTGGCATCAAGTATGCCAATAATATATCGATATGGATATTGTGCAGATAGGCTATCTCTCCACCTGAAATCATTCGTTTACAATGTACCATTCGCTTCAATTCTGGTACTACCTACACGCGCTTCGCATATACGAGGGGAACGCTGTACTGTAACGGTAAGTCATCAAAGTGATCAGTCTTGGTATTCTGTACCCGAATCTCTGTCGCTCGCTTTTCTCACTGCCAGGGTGGTGATGGTGGCGGTGGCGGGTGTGGCTGCTGATGTGCATTCTCAGCGCCTATCTCGTTAGTTGTGGATGGTTCATATTCATACTCATACCACCCACTTGACCCTTGAGTGTGCCCAATACACTCCATGTATACAGGCGCACTTACTGGCGGTGGTGGAGGTGGAGGTGGAGGTGGAGGTGGTTGTGCTTGTACCTGTGTATATGCATTGTTCCACACCGTCTCATTATTGTATGACCCATTGGGATAGTGACTCACACCCTCTGACAGTGGCGGTGTTGGATACACACTTTGCGGTAGGGGTTGTCCTGGCATGTCTGGGTATGCATAAGTTTGCTTGGAAGTTGGCAGCACCCCATATGTAGGTGTACCTAGGTATGGTGTTTGCCCATAAACAGCTGAGGCTGGTGGCACGAGAACGTGATGTGATTGTGGCTGCGGTTGTATCTCTTGATGTGGGTTTATTGGTGGGGGTGGTGCTTGTGGGGTGTGTGGTTGTGCTTGCCCTTGTACTTGTAAATGTATTGGTGTTTGCCAGGTAAGTTGTGATGGTGGTGGTGGTGGTAGTGGTGGTGGTGCTAAGATCTGAGCCTGCGTACTCATTGGAGCAGGCTCAGTGGTTTCCTTTTGGCACAGTCCCAGCAGCTGCTGCACGGCGCTGGACAAGTTGAGCTCAGATTCCACACTATCATCATCACCGTTCAAACAGTGCGACACAATACGACCTCCCAATGCCAAGGTGACCTCGCGTGTTGTTGTGGTGGTGGTGGTCGTAGATGACGTCTTTGTGGTGATAGAATTGCCCTGCTGAGTGGCATCCTGGGATGTGGGGTGCAAGAGAACGGGTGTTGCTGGTTCTGTTGTAGGTGATTGTACAACATAGCGTGGCTTGCTAATGGCAGACGAGCGCTGTGGTTGATACGGTGGCCCTTGTTGTGTCTGCGTGTGTGGTTGTTGATGCTGCTTCGATGGTGTACGTGGGGTTTGCTGCGCCCATGTCTGGGACTGTGGTTGCAGTGACTGATGTTGTTGCTGTGACTGATGTTGTTGCTGTTGTTGTTGTTTGTACAGTTGTGGTTGTGACCATTGCTGTGTCTCTGACTGTGGCTGTGGGTCTTGCTGTGTCGGTTGTTGTACCTGTTGATATGGTTGTTGTTTTAGCTGTCCGTATGACTGCAATGGAGGCTGTGGCTGTGGCTGTGTCAACGATTGTGCCTGTTGCTGGGCCTGTGTAGAATGCTGCTGTTGTTGTGATTGCATGTATGGCTGCAATGGAGGTTGTGACTGTGTTTGTGGTTGCGATTGTATCTGTTGCTGTCCTAGCGGCGGTTGCGATGGTGGTGGTGGTGGTGGTGGTGGTGGTGGTGGTGACGTTATTGGTGGTACTGGTGGAAAGGATTGTGTCGTTGGTGTGTAGACAAGAGGTGCTTGTGGGTTCATGTACGTATACTGTTGTGGCTGATCGCGTGTGGCGTCTTCATTTTGCGGTACATACGCACTTCCTGGACAGTACTGTGTACCAGACTGCCAGTACGCGGGTCTGCTTTCTTCAGCGCACGGTCGAGTCTTCCTGTCTGGGGCTGTGTGGGACTGTCGTGCACAGTATGGCTCTGATTCTGGTGCCATACATGCATCTGAGTGCAATGGTATGCGGGGCAGTGGACCTCTGGTGTGCTGCTGAGGTGGAATACGTGGTGTTGTCTCTACCACGGTAACCTCATCGTCGAGTTTGTGCTTTCCTGTATTGGATATTCCACGCGACCGCTTCGCACCTTTGGAACTGTAGCATTGTATGCATAAGTATCGGGGCGTGAAATGTTTTATCATAAACACGGCTTTGATATCACAAAAGCACTCCGCAAAACCTTTACATATCATGAAAAGCGATGTTCCAAAAGCCAATTTAAAGTGGCACAAGTTTCGACAGATCTGCAACGCAATCCTAGACTTGTTGAGGATGGCATGGTCATCACTCAGCACTCACACACACATGTGGATCGAATTATGCTTCGCTAGATTGCACAATATATACACAATTTCAACATGCCTCAAGCATTCCGTCTCAGTTTACATGGATATAACAACACACAAGGCGCTGCACTAATGATTCATGATGTATGCGACAGTATTCTCGAATACATTTTCTCACATACCAGACACCAACGAGCCGCCTTTATGTAAAATACGCCACTGTACTAAGTCTAACGTCTACAGTAGGTACAAAGTCCACCGTGTCTCATACAACCCACCCTTTCGGAAGTACGTAGTCTACTGTAGGCTCCCGAGGAGCGGTGGCTTTTCGCTTGTGCTTGTGCGTGTCAAACACCATAGTAGAACTCTTCCGTACTTCATTTCTCTTGACCATATCTGCTGTGACAACTCCACCCTTAGGACACCGAAAGATAAAGCCAAATTTCATTGAACTAGGTAGGCGAAGACTCATACAGGATAGAGAGGTGACTCGCCATACGTATATAGCTGTGCAGCAGCCAATACATTGAAGCGGTCGATTCATATATATCATATTTGCGTAAGAATATATGCTGGTGTGTATACCGGACACGACTATAGCTTAGCCACACACGCATGCGTATGTACTTACCTGTATAGTGGCATACTATTAGCGTGTCACATACCCTGTGCGTGCTCAAGTACTCTCGTCCTGTATGTTGCGCACCACTCAATGGCACACTGTAGTCCGTCTGGCTCGTGAGACACCACATATCACTCGCTTGTGGGGGTGTTGGTCGAGATGTTGCTGTACACTCTCCGAGCGCTGCTGGGTCATCGCAGTCAATGGGAGCCTCACAGGCATCTGCATTAACAGAATAGTAAGTCAAATCTAAAACCCACCCAGGCCCTGTAGCTGCTTTGCGAGGACTCTGGCGATAGGCGTACGAGTGGTATTCCAGAGATCAGCAGTCAGAAGGGGAGCGGACTCAAACACAATCGTGCGATAGTCGAGCAACTACTAATAATACTAATGTAAAGCATTACAGTCCTTCTGTCCCCTACCTGCACCTATGGACTGGGCCTCGTCTTTGGGCGTGTCGGGTGCGTGTCCCATTGTACTACTGTTCGAGTCTGTGCTGGTGCTGTTGCTGTGGTTTCTAATGTACATCACTGTTTAAGAAATTGAAGCCGAGGGGTTGAGACAGATTGTAAGTGTGAGTTATAAATTCAGATCTTTCGATAAACCTCGTACCAAACCACCAGTCACAAGGACAGTGAAAAGTCATCGCATTCACTTAAGACAGGTGTCTTTTGTCATATAACTCGTACTGCTACAGACGCAAGTGATCTGCTTTGATACTTTGCATGTTCCGCGAAGGCGTCATGCTGTAGTATTATATCATTGCTGCTATCTGGTAAAACTTCTAGTGCACGGCTATGAAGGGCTTTCAAGTCTACTCGTTATTCCATGGCACCAGCTCAAGAACAATATATTAACCGATGTTGATGAAACGCAGATATATACTAGCACAACAAATGAAACAAGAGCATTGAAAATCATACCAGTAAACAGCAGATTCGGCAAATTATTCAACTCAGACTCGTTGAGATGATCCAAAATTATGTTGAGGACACTCGACTTTCGATTGAGATGGATCAGGTGCGTCTCTGGTTTAGTAGCAACCACCCGTAAACAATCAGTTTAAGATGTATCGTCCAAGTTCATTGTGCAATACATAATACCTGCATATCTAATTCAGAATACCTGTGTATCTAATTCAGAATACCTGCATATCTACTTCAGAATATCTGTATATCTATGCACCGTTAGTGGTACATACACGTTTATTTCGCACGGGCCCATCTGGTGTATTTGTACATACTTTTATTCGAAGTCGTGACGAAAAAGAACTCCTGTCCAAAGCTGCGCACCAAATGATTGAGATAGTTGAACGCACTCTCGGCATTTCGGGAGGGCGTTAGCATGCATATCTCGAACAGCTGACATGACCACGGAACAAGCAAATGAACTGTTAGAACACGGACAGGTAACACTTCAAACCAGAACAGCTGACATGACCACAACACAAGCAAACGAACCGTTAGAACACGGATAGGCAACACTGCAACCCACTTCGCTCGTGAGAGATAAGGGCGTGGAAGGGCAGCAAAATGCAAATGCACACTAAAATGTGTTAATGGATACTTGAAAGGGACACTTGGTGATCCGTACAACATCAGGCGTTGTTGTATATCAACTAGCTTCACACACCTCCGGAGCCATATTGTATAGGGTCTGCAGCCTCTGGAAGAGCCTATTTCCCAGATTGCGTACTTTGTGCTCAAAGCACAGTGTGGCCGGTGTCTGCAGTAGTCCCCCCTCGTTCGTCTGTACTAGGATTGTTGGTGTAGAGGAGTATGTGAATGGAGTGCACCCGATGTTGAATATACAGTTGATATCTGCAATACATTCGCGTCAATTTTACTTGATGAGCACATACTTCTGAAACGCCTATGTGAGTAGTGTACGATTGGTATGATATACGTATTAACGAGTACACTCTGCACCAAAGAGTCAGCGCATACGTCAAAAAAAGAATGATTCGCAACACTCCTTATTGTACCGATGATTTTCAATGCTAGTCGAGTGCATGGCATATCTATAGTACATCGAGATGCGTAGTTTAACTCGAAATCAAGAGATTTGTAGTCATTCTCAATGTTTCTATCTCAACGAAACGCTATCACGTACGTACGCGGAGTACACAGCCTGGTCCATGGAACTTTATATTTCATGTCTAGGCTCTACACAACAGACAGTTTGATATTACAAACACAAATATGTACACTAGCTGAGCCGTTCAAGGGGGTTCCGCCTACTTATTAAACACGTGCCTGAGGATGCAGCAGTGTCCGACTAATCTGCCATGTACGATCCATTGGCACCAATTTGACAATGGCAATCTCAGTGGAGGCACCAACGCACGATGAGCTCGACGATGGCATTGCACCTGTGTGAATTGTGAGTTGTACATCGGAGTTCGAAGTTTATGTTGTCAATTGTACTTGTATGCATCAACTGTAAGGTGTTGCATGAGGGTATAAGCAATCACCAAACATTCGCGTCTAGCCGAGCTCTCAAGGGAACCACCAGCAAGCTACCTTACCTGAGCTCCACTTTGTCCTCATGTCTAATCGCTGCCCATATTCGGCTTCGAGGGGTGAACTACTTTCGCAGTTACGCTCTTTTGCTTCAACTCCTTCGGTAGTTCCAGAGACCCCCCAAACATTCTCAGTTGTATGTACATTACCGGCAGATGCCGCCGCCCATGTCTCTGTTCCTAAGCCACACTCTTCCTTGACAATACCCGCAGTGGCGTTCCAATCTGTCGCACTCGAGGGCACCTTTGCGTATCCCGGTGCACCTTCCTCGGAGGTGGGCTGGACTTCACTCGACTGAGAGTGCGTTGGGTCAGCCGACGCTTGCGGGTGTGTGTGTACAGCGAGGGATGGCAAAGGAGCTGCTAGAGGCGTGATGATTTGATTGGCCAATGCTGTCGGCTTTCTCTCCACTGTCTGACTCTCGAGATTAGTCGTATCTGATTGGGCATACGTCTGATACTGAGCGCTGGGTGGTGGTGTCGGGATCAATGGCTTTTGGTCTTGTGTGTAAGACTGGCGACCTAAGCGAGGGTATAAAAGGGGGTCTTTCGGAAAAGAATAGTTTGCCTCTACAGTCTGCTCTACCTGTGGCTGCGATTGTGACTCTGCTGTGGGTGTGGGTGGTGGGGATGGCCTTGGTTCCTGCTGTGTGTGGAGTGGTGCTTGGTTTGATATGGTCTCATTTGCGTCCGTGGCAGAGGTTGGCGAATTCGGATCTACCTGCGCATGTCCATCGATATTCGAAGGATTGCTAACATCGGGTGATGGCGCTTTGGTATTCTCCGATGCCGTTGCATCTGCAAAGATGCCTGGTAGGTCTATGCCTAGGGCTGTATCCTCTGAAATGACCGAGGAGAAATCCAACTCTGATGCTAGTAGGCTGAAATCCACGGGCTTTACCTTAGGTGTAGTGGAGTTGATCTCAGACGTGACGGGTCCGTATGGTTGACCCATAGGCTGCTGCTCGAATGGTTACCAAAAGCATAATGTGTGAGAGTTGGGCGGATGAAAGTTTACAAGGGTGGCGTACGTAGGCGCTCGGACTAGTACTCATTAATGGTATGCGTATAGCTGATGCATCAGTGGAGATCCATGGCAGCAAGCGATCAAGGCTGCAAAGTGTGAAGAAACATATGCATGAAAATGACCCGACAAACAATCATCCGAACCTAACGAGTGTGCACAGGCGAGTAGTACAATGAAACCACATGAGCACCATTCACACCTGCATTGCTGACTGCTCTGGCACACGATCCACATCACTGAAATCCACGTTCGTGTCCAGACCCGGTTTGGACTCGAAGGCTAAGCCGACGTTCCAATCCAGATCCAAATCCAAATCCAAATCTGAACCCAAATTTGTATTGAGTGTCTCGGGCTTAGCAACTGCTTCATCAATTTGGTGATCACCTCGACTGTCACCACCCTCATATGTACTACCTTCAGCAACATCCTCAGTCTTGGTTAAAATTCTTTTACTGCTCAATTGATTTCTGTAGCCACCATTGATAGCATCGGCCTCTCCTTGCGTTTGGCTGCAAGTGACTGGACTTGTGCCCTTGTCTGTCTTCCCATCGTTACTTCCACTGTCAATAGTCCAGCTGCAATCCTTTCCCTGTGCACCCGTGTCTTCTTTTTTCATATGACACTCGTTCCCTTGTATGCCTGCGCTCTGTTTGACACTGTCCCGGGTGTCTGGGGTATCTGTCGTAAGGGGTGGTATCATAGCGGAAATGCTTGTCTCATAGAGGCTGCACTGACCCAGCTCACTATCATCTACCGCGTTGTCTGGCCCAGGAGGGCTAATAGAAAAGCGTATTTGAAAGAATGTTACAGTGTGTGACTATATCCACATGTGTGTGAAGCACCCTGTAGCCAGTGCTTCTGGTCTATGTATCAAAGACTGCTTGTTCTTTTTGGCTTGAATAAGCTGAGAAAGCTAGGAGGTATTATCCGGTACGGGTTTTACACCCCAGTTGTGAGTCAAACAACTCTTATGGAGATAAATTATACACTATAACTGTCAGTCCCTTCTGGCTAAGTGATTTATTGCTGAATCAACGAAAACAGTACAGATCTATCAACCAGGACATTCACCTAGCATGTGCGCATGAGCTCGTTGGTGCATATCTGACGAGCAACGAGTGAAGATATCAAACTCAAACAGTGTTCTTGAAATGTTCTCAAGTGCATGGGGCATGTGCACAGACACGATTGTCGGTGGAAGCCTATCCAGTAGATGCTCACCCCATACATCCGTGCGGACGTATCATTTTGCGGCATAATTACACTACAGCCTACGAATGAAAAGTGTGCACGCAAATCACGACCGGGAAATGAAATACAGAGACTGACTACTGATTGGTATATGGGTCGCAAACTTGGTGACGAGATAGTCCAACACATAACAATAGACACAGATACCCCTTACACGCACACAATCGGAATGAGAAACCACGAGTACGGGATTCGATGTACATATGAACGAAGCTCAAACACTATCAAAGACATTAGACAATGTTTGTGCATCGGTTACCAGATTACCCTCACATATGTTACTTACCCGTCCACTCTGTTGCCCGTATGCAACTCAGAGCAGGAGGCCTCTTGTTCCTGCCATTCCAGCCATCCGGCAGATGCAATTGAGGAAGCATAAAGTACCAGCACGTGACACGTGTGCCGACATTGTGGATTTGTAAAGGTAGAGTAGGATGTTGCCATCTGAGTACGGTATTGCATTGGGTGTATGTGTACAGGGAGCGTCCGATGACACATATGACCATGCGCGTGGATGCGCAAGTACTGTAAATTTTAATGTCATGGAATGAATAACACGTGTGTATACACTCTGAGCGTCGATTGACTTGAAGTCAGAGTTTTATAGTCAGAGTTTTATTCCGTAGCTGTGCTGGAGCCGCCATGTTGCACATATGAGCGAGCACATCATGAATATGTACGAATCACCATGCAGCTGACTGGGCAAGCAAGGCCACTCTTGGCCTCTATCTAAAGCTAAGCACGATCCTGGACGTATCTTGGTGTCACACATACAGCCTTGGGTGTTCCACCCAAACCCGTACAAATGAGACATATAGCGTACTATAAATACTCCCAGTACTACCTTCACTTTTGCTACCAATCAACTTACTGGTATTGGTATGTTTTGTCTCCAGTTCTCTCCCTCGAGTCGTTGTCTATCATCCGTCGCTATTGGGTCGAGTTCATCGGCAAACATGCTCACCAACTGCCCAGGGCTGATCTCGCCATAGTATAACTTCCTGAAGTGTATAGTGAGTTAATTGGATGAGATCAAGTCAATCCGTTACGTCTTTAAAACGGTTGATGCGAAGGTGCACACAACCCATCTGCATGGCGTACCTGGCACATATTCTAGTACAGATATAGCTGCCAAACTGCGTATTGCCTGCATAACTCACATGTCAATGTACACACACACATACACAAGAGCACATACATGCATCATACGCAGTGCCCCGAGGTTCCTGCGCAAAAATTAAACACACACATACCTACATAATACAGCAGAGGTGTATGCATAAACTCAATATGCAATTCTAAATAGTACCCTACCTGTGTAGAACATTTCCTGGGTTCTTTATACCAGATCGTATTGCGCGCGCCTTGACCTCTCTGTCGCGTGCGTGTGGCCATGTGCTGCTGAGCGCTGTCACAACGCCATCGCGCAATACGTTCATGCGATGAACCTTGGCCTGATCGTCTATATGATGCAGGTCGGCATCGTTGATGATCCGCTCCACTGGAGATGAACCCGTTAACGTTCATGTTAAAAAAAAGGATTGTGGTTGCTTAGAGGATGGGGCGTTATGTGATAGACGAGAGTAGGTCCTCATGTGCAATGTATGTGTGTGTGTGCGTGCACGGTGGCAAAAACGACTTTGACAGCAGAAAACGTTCAGCGAGTTAACTAGCTCATAAGGAATCTAACTATTTCAGCTAACACTTGATTAATCTCCCTATAGGAAGGCCTCGCTGTATAGAATAGTTGTTTGTGAACGTATACACCCTATCTGCATACAGACGCACGATTGCAGGTACTTTATACTTAGTATCATATACACGTGGTATGGGCTAGGTTACTCGTGTGTACATTATAGTGCGTCCCAATGATCTCTCATACCCACACCATTAAATGACTACATGCATGTGTACATGTACGTACACGCCACTCGCATATTACGCACACGTACAGCACTAGAATTCGCAATACCATTCGACCTGTTTGCCACACCTACCGAGAGCGCTTTGAACGAGTTTTGATAGTTTGGTATCTCGCAGTGCGCAACTGACTGACACAGGCGTCGTGTCAACCTGGTTGGCGCCACTAAAAAAAAAAAATCCGCGTGCGAGTATTAGTTCCGACTGGTCTATTTTAACATACGCAAGTTTGTGTTCAGTTTTGTCCCTTTAACAGGGAAGTTAGATATGTAGCCCTAAACACAATACACATATTTTTCGACTCGTCTACTTGGTTTTTTTCTCTTCTATACAGTATGTAGTCAAAGGTTATCATAGCTTACTTTGCGTACACCTCCTATTCCTACTAGAAAACAAGTTTCTTTACTTACGATTGTGTATTGGTGTCTGTGGGAGTGGGAGTGAGGGCAGTGCATGTTCTGCGAATACGCATATTTATCCCTGGTACACGTCTGTGTAAGGCTCAAGTATATTTTGTTCGTGATCCTGGGCATTGTTTATCCCTGGTACACGTCTGTGTAAGGCTCAAGTATATTTTGTACGTGATCCTGGGCATTGTTTATCCCTGGTACACGTCTGTGTAAGGCTCAAGTATATTTTGTACGTGATCCTGGGCATTGTTTATCCCTGGTACACGTCTGTGTAAGGCTTAAGTATATTTAGTACATGATCCTAGGCAAGTGTGTGCATACGATCTATACATTGCTATATACACGCACCAACACACATGAGCATACTTCCAGATCTAATTTCTACAGGCAAAACTTCATACTCACCTCTACAACGGATCTTAACAGTGGATCAAGGTAAGCATCCCCCATGTTCTCTACAATATATACTTATTGTACGTATTAGTGTCATAGCTCTTTGAGCTTATCCATAGTACATAAACACCGCCAATACACTTATCACACCTGTCCGAAGTTGCACCCATGACCTCGACGTGCGTTTACCAGATCCATTCAATTTCCTCCGGCGCCTGCGGTAGTGAGGCTTGCTTGGCGTGTCTGGTGGCTAAGCTCATGGAAGCTATACCTGTGTATATAAGGCCATACCTGTGTATATAAAGCTATACCTGTGTAAATGATGCTCTACCTGTGTATGTGAAGATATACCTGTGTAAATAATGCTATACCTGTTGTGAAGCTATACCTGTGTATTTAAAGCTATACCTGTGTATATTAAGTTAGACCTGTATATATAAAGCTATACCTGCGTATGTGAAGCTATACCTGTGTAAATAAAGCTATGCCTGTGTATATTAAGTTATACCTGTGCATGTGTATATACACACTCTCTGAGCATGATGTTATACGAGCACAATACTGGTTAAACTCAATACACAAACAGCATATATATTTTACACGGCGGGTGTGTATGCCATGCCACAGTGTGTGAGTCATCGCCTGTTTTGACCCAGATTCGGGTAACCACTCTCAAGTCCACTAGAGTTAACTAGAGATACCCGAATATCATATATGAAGTGTGGGGAACGATGAAGATACACACAACAGAGGCATATCGCGTACGGTAACGTTTTGGTCACAGCATACATCTCACACGCACGTTAACGCTTTGGACACTACTTATACCTTGTATGTTGACATTTGGTTTTGAACTATCCGTCGAAACAATATACTGGTTGTGGCATGGTAGCGTGCAGGCTATAGTATAGTTCAAGGTGCTTTGAGAGCGTATGAGTCCACCTACATACTGTGCTTCGAATAGTTCGAAACTAGTTAGGCGCACACCTACAAAACCCACAATTTGACGTACGGCATCATTCTGTTCGGCTTCGAAGTAGTCAACCAGATGGAACTCACATGTGAGGTGAATGCATACGCAACTTGGGCCCATCGAAATAACCGACCTTGTTTGTCGTACTGCTCTGACACAGTGCATGTAAGCACACATTCTACGTCAGGTCTATTCAGATGTATCACAGTCCACAGAAGTACTCATCAAATTGTTTCACAGGATTATGACGTCTCTTAGGTTCCACGTCACACGTGCACTACATATGTGCAGAGGGGCGTACTGTAAGACAAAACGAGTCGTTTGTGCATACAGTAGAAATCCCGCAAAGCACAAAACAGATGTAAGAGATCTATCCTAATTCGAAGTATCGCATGAGCTAGCAACCAGGCACATCCGACGGTAACATTCAAAACGTTCACAAACTTATAACAAACTGAATCAAGATATACTTGACGCAGAGTACGCCGTCGAGATTTGAGGTGTGACAAGTGCGGCCCTTCGCCTATCATGAAATCAGCCACTGAGTAAATATGACGATGCTATTCTTTCCTTAAGAAGACACTGATGACTTATGTTGTAGCTACTTGAACTACTTGAAGACCTCATTTTCAAACAAATCCGTAGCAGTGTACATGGCGTGGTACACTGTGGCATGTTAGAGGTATATGAGTCGCATGAAGTTGCTTCGGAAGCACTGTTCGCAGCCCAAACGTTTAATGCACAGCTTTTGTGTATGTATATTGTCGGTGAGATTGACCACCGTTGCTATTTGTGACGGATTCTCCATACAATTATCAACAGTAACAGTAGTGTATCCTAACATATCACCACTATAAGACTGATTTTAAAACTGAAAAAGTTGCCTTCAAGGTGTACGGTATCTAGCCAGTCCTTAATTACGACATACATTTGTGTATACCTCACTGGCGGGAGTGACCAATCATCACTGATGGTCCCTTTCTAATCCTTATACTATGAGTCAAGTGCAGCACACAGGAATCAGGAAACTATGTAACCTGTGGAGTACTGATTCACATACAAACAGCGCTAAAGTAAACTACATTAAAACCTCTGCACGGCAGAGTATCAGTCTTACGCAGCTTACTACATGGTAAGTGTTAAAATCTCTATTGCGCACCATAAGTGTGACAAACTATAGGTTGGACGGATTGCAAATGTAC